ACAAAATCGTCTTCACCTGCTTGCCTTGCGAAGGGACCTAGTTTTTCTTTGAATGATTTTGCATGCTTACACATTTCATGTGCTTGCACTCCCTTTCCCTGCAATGTCACAATCAATTTCTTAAATGCATCTGCAAACATCATCTCATACCTCCACTCCTCTGGTGAATTATGTCTTTTCTCTGCTTCCACTTCCCAAAGTCTCTCCTAATCCACAATTCAATGAAAAGACAAGATATCACTGTCTGTGTAATGTGCTTGTAACTTGTTTTTAAAAGCTTAACTATACTTACATTTTATCTACTGAATGCTCTGTTGCAATGACAAGCATCACCCTTCTGGTTGTAATGCTTATCATTTTGTTCCAGGACATATCACTTTTCTCCACACAATTCAAGGTGCATTCAGTTGTTCTATCTTCCATTAATTCTAGGCCCAGTAATTACTGTGCGATGACAAAATTTTCATAAATTCCACGAATAAAGATGAGTAGTTGAGCAGAGTCTTCGTTACCTGTGTTCTAAACCAGTACCAAAGAGAACCACGCAAGATCTTTGTTCGCAGTCATCAGCTGCTCGATGTGTTCATAGCTAATCGCTTCAATAGGCCGCACTATAGTCACTATCAAATTTATTTCCTTCTCGTATCAGGACACAATGCGTCTCATATCAGGGCATGCACTTTACCAAACAATGTTTAATAAACACCTCTTCCGTAAATAGCTCGTTGCGTATATCAAAATTGTAGGCTACCATAAATATTGCTTCTGTAGCGCTGTTTTAAAGTATTGATTGCTTTGAAACAATGTTTTTCTCTTCTTCAGTTTTCTCACACATTCGCAGCTTTTATTTTTCGTTCTTCCTTGGAAAGTTTGCAGCGAAATTCGATATGTTATGTTCCAAAGTGTCGTTTGATATTATGCTGTTTAAATATGATTATCATTCATGATACAGGAAACACATTGCTTGTACCCTGTGTTACCAAAGATATATTTTTTGTCCATTCGTCATTAAGCACATGATATTCATCACCGATTTTACTGTTTTTCGAAGGGTTCTCGGTTTCACTAAAATTGGAAATTTATATATTTAAATTACAAAAACTAAATTGAAATCAACCATATCAACTGGAGAAGTACTGCTTTCGTATCGATATTGCGCATGTGTGTTAACGTAGCCGCTGTAATGTAAAATATGAGACGAATCTTCGAAGGAAATCTGGAAATCTGGGTTCGAGACGGATTATTCTGATTGCCTTGGCGGGCAACAAGAAACTCTTACCGTGTCGCATTTGCCCGCGGACCGCTATTTTCGCACTTCTGGAATAGAGTGTAACTGTTGTAGCTCCGAAACATAAACTATAAGGTTTCATTATTTATTTTAAATTAGGTTCAAGAATGATCAACACGGAAAGGTAATTTTCTAATTCAGTATTAGTTATCATAATTTATTCTGCTAGATATCTTATTTCGATTGTTTATTTATATTAATTTTAATATATATAATAATGCACAAATTCGAAATAAGTGTCTGTGAATCCTATCCCAATTAAAATGAGTGTTTGCCAAATTGCTATTACATAATCGCAGTTTTAAAAGGCAGTATTAATCTCATTCTTATTTTGTTCTTAGGTGGCTAAAAATATCTAAATAACAAAAAGAAACAGCAATGAATTTAGTAGGCAGAAATCTTTGCTGGAATCACGAGAGAAATAACAAAGAAAAAAGGAAGAAGAAATTATTAAAATCTGGAAAGTGCTTTTATAAGAATTAACAGATTCGAGTAAAGAATTATTAGATTTCCAGGCATAATGCAATTCATAAGTCATTTTTCATTTTCCTTATGCGCCCACCAGCGGCTGAGCGGTAAAGTCGCTGAACACTGGTAGTTCGGTCCGAGGTTCGAATCCCGCGAACGGGCTGGCTGCTTGGGCGTTTTCGTGGTTTTCCCCATATGTAACGTGTATACGAGCCAGTTTCCCTTAGAAAGTCCTCCACGAAAGGCATCCCTCCACTTAGGCAGATAGCCGTAGTGTGCTTTGCCATAATTAAATACACCACAATACGTTTTCCTTATGCGTATCATTATCTCGTTCAAATCGCTACTTCCTATTTTAGGATCACCTCTTAAGGCCTTAATGCAAAGTGTTTTTGATTTTGAATGAAAGTAGTAGTATTTAAATTGACATATAGATTTTTTAATTTAAATCAAAGTCATCTAAATGCATGTAGTTCTCTCACCTTTCTCTGGCCAGATTTCTTCCGAGAATTAAAAACACTTCCGATATATTTATTATAAAAAAATAAAAGACGACAACAAGAACCTAGAATTAATTTCTATTAATTTATTTGTGCATTTATTTATTTTGTAAATTTATATTACCATTGCCCAATTTAAGTAGATTCAGTATAATATTACATTTATTAATTGCTAAGTTAAATAAAGTGGAATTTAGAGAAATCCTCTTTTTCGCTTGAATTTGTTTTTTGAGTGGATTTTTTTTTTACCTTATTTATTTCTCTTATACTTTTTTCGAGTGTTTTTTTACCTTATTTATCCCCTTCTGTCTTCTCTAAATTATTTTTAAAAAATATATTTAAGTTGTTTTAGGGAAATCTGCAAAGAAATTTGGTTATATGTGATTACGGCTAAAGCCTCGAGGGCTATCTATCTGAGAGGGGGGATGCCTTCGTGGAAGAGTTTCGAAGGTAAACTGCCTCGTATACACGTTACACATGGGGAAAAACCCCCAAAACACCCATGCAGTCAGCCCCTTCACGGGATTCGAACTTCGAGCCGAACTACCAGCGCTGAACGACTTTGCCGCTCGGCCGCTGGTGGGCCTGCAAGGAGGAAAAATTAACTCATGAAAGTTTTTAGCAACGCCTTAAAACACTATTGTTATGTGAAATGCAAGTAATATAATTGACATTGCGTCCGCAAAAGTGGATGTAATCTTACCAAAGTTTTGTAATATATTCTATTTTTAAATAACGAAGGATGTTTGCGTGTGGCCATGTATGTATGTTTCTTATATTGTGAAAAAACGGCAGTACCTATAACCACCAAATTAGGAACACACGTGGTCCTGCAACCGCACATAAGGCCCTCGAAGCCCAAATTTTAAATCTGTTTTTTTATTTGTTTCATATGTGGAATATTTAGAAATTTTTAATTAACAAACTCAGCACTTTAAAAGGCCTTTCATCAAAGTGTAAGATATCTATGTTTTGAGTTTTATCAGAAAACTCAGCAGTTTAAAGAAATGTGTTGTCAGTCATCAAAGCATAAAATGTTTACCTTTGAAATATAAACAATAAACTCAGCGATTTGAAAGAAATGTATTATTACTGCCTGAAATAAAATATTTTTATTTTCGACACGCATGCTATTATTCGACAAAACATAAGATATATAAATGTTCATTCCGTGGGGCTAGTAAATGTAAATCAGTCAAACAATAAATACAGTAAAAAACTAGCATAAAAGTCTTCCGCGGTATTAAATATCCACTTGTTGCCAGCTGTTGCTATGCAATCTAAAAATATAAAACTGCACAATTTTTAGAGTAGGAATCAGTAGTTTTAGCGAAGTTTTAACATTACGATATTTCTCTTTGGATTTTACGCCAACAAGGAAACAAATATTTTTCAGTTTTTATAAACAAAATGGAAATTTTTACGAAACCATTCTTTGACTTTAAATCATGTAGTAATATTTCAGGCTCCGTTCTGTCCAAGATCTCTTTCAAACATTACCAAACTTGTTCTTAGTTCTTACACATGATGACGTAAAATGCTGGTCTTATATAAATAGGAAATTTTAGAAAATCTAAAACTTTTCAGATCTTATCACCAAGGGAAATTTTGCAAAACTGAAAGAGCTTCGAAATCTTTCATCAACCGCCAAGTTGAGGATTTGTTTTCCATGTATTATCGAATCCTGGCAGGACTTCTGTTTAAGTGTTAAAAATATATGCTTTACTCCATAACAGCATAATTCATCATCAAGTAGATTTCTCTAATATGTATTATTTCAAAACATTTGCCTTTTCAACTGGAAATGCATCATCAATAATTTATAAAGTAAATTTTAATCTGCCATCATCTCATATGCAGCTACATTTTCTTTGTAACTCTAATACAGCAGATACATAAATACGAAAGAATACCATATTAAAATATACTCTGTCATATCCCTTTTCATCGAAATAAGTTAATATATTCAAAATTACCTCCACTATAATTGTATAACTCGTGAAAATATTAAACTAATTATTTGTTTGAATTATTTTCGTATGATAAATGAAAATCGTATAATAAATGAATAATTACAAGTTGTAATATTGAACTGCAGTTTGATAATTACAAACTTACGTTCCTCCTTCAAAATCAATTTACCTATCGCAGAAGCTAAAAATTAGTTCACTTATTACAAAAACAATTATTCTGCATTTAATAATCATTCCACTTCCATAACAATATTTTTTGCATTCAAAATGGCTTGAATAATACAGGATCTCACAAATACACTTATCCCTCAATGAAGCTCGAAATATAGTTTTCCGATATCCTGAAAACATTCATCCGGAGCACGCAATCAGTAACGATAGGAATATAAAAGAGCATCATTCAGCAGAAATTTGTCATGATAACTGCTCATTACACATAAAACCACGTTGAAAACCACGCAATATTTTCTTCTAAGTACGGCGTAGAGAAAAAATTCATTCTAGTAACAGAAATCAATAATCTTCTTTCAGATGATATATATATATATACGATTTATAGGGGCAAAATCCAATTTGCTGAACCTGCTAGAGTCAATTCTTTTTCCGATTGGCGTAATGATGTGAAACGAGTAACTGTTACATTGCGAAAAACTAAAATGAGCTGACTGCCATTTTGTGAAGGTAATAACGCCAGTCACGGAAAAGGAGGTGGATACACAAGCGCCGCGGTAAAGCCTACATTTTGGTGAGTATGTTATTTCATTACTTGGATTTTTTTTTTTTTTTTTTTTTTTTTTTTTTTTTTTTTCAGCTTGATATCTCAGTTGAAAGTTCTTTTCCGATTGCGTCTCAACTCTCTTAGTGTATATAATATTCTTTTTAAACGACTAGGCACTCTTAGATATCTCTTGAACGATTATTTCTAAACACATTTCTTCAGCTATTAAAAGAAAAAAAAGAAACTTATCAAAGTTTGACAATTTTGTTCAAGTTATATTCTCAGAAAAAAATATGTAACATTAAAATTTCCGTAGTGATTTTTTTTACAGCGAAAACTTTAGTTTGTAAATTCTTCTTTGCCCGAATAAAGGCCTCTAAAAAATGTCGATTTTTCATAAAACGAAGATTTTTCCCCACAACACTGATATGTCTCAAGAAAAAAAATCTAGTGTGGTCACCTAATTACTTCTTTATACTGCCTATTAAATTACACACAATTTTTTGCTGCACTTCATTTAAACTTATTTCTTAGAATTTCATTAGAGATATATTCTCAGATTATTTCATTAGAGATATACACTCACTTCCAAAAGTTAAGCACGGAGAGAAAAATGCTAATTTTCGGAAGCCAGTCAGAATTCAAGAGGATGCAATTCGCTGCAGAGGTAAAGTATGCAAATATGTTAGGTAACAGCCAATCGAGCTTTCATGTCAAGAAATATGCAAAAAAAGGCAGTCTTATAAGACGCCAGCTTTATGAAGGGTTACAGAAGTTGATTCTAAGTGCTGATAGAAGGTGTTTACAACTTTCGTACAATTGGTTTTCAAGACATACGTGTTTCTATGACTTCCAGGAACGATTGGAAGATTCTGAGCGCTGGCGTGCTGTGGGGCGCATTGAAGCAAGACAGTCGATCACTGATGTTGCTCTTTTCTTCGGCGTTCATCATTCTGTAATTTCACGTTTATGGAAACAATTCCAAACCACACAGACAGTTATCCGAAGGCCCGTAGCCGGTCACCCATCGGTTACAATCCCGGCGGAAGGTTGATATATTGCTATTGTAGTCAAGCGGAATCGCAGAGCGACCTCCACACGTGTGACATCTATGGTTACAGCGTCCATTGGTAAGGCGATAGCTGCAGCTACTGTACGCCGAAGATTACATATGAGTTGACTGTACGCCCGGGTACCTCGAGTTTGCGTTCCTCTATCAGTCCAATCAAGAGGAGCACGATTACAGTGGTGCCGGGAACATGTCAATTGGAATGTGTCTGACTGAGGCAAAGTCATGTTTACTGATCAGTCAAGATTTGCTCTGGAGCCAGATGACAAGCGTATAAGGATATGGCGTGAACAACAAACACGCAATCAGTCCTAAATTATCATAGAACATCACGCATTCCGAGGCGGAAGCATTATGGAAGGGATTTCATTAGGATACCACACCGACCTGCACATCTTTAGACGGGGTTCTTTGACGGCTGTCCGGTATCGAGATGAAGTCCTAGAAGCCATTGTGAGATTGTACGCTGCAGCAGTTGGCCCTACTTTTGTTTTAATAGACGATAACGCACGTCCTCATAGAGCTGACATCGTCGATGACTACCTGGAGAATGGGATTGCGCGTATGGCGTGACCAGCATATTCGCCCGACCTTAATCCCATGGGAAATCTCTGGGATACTCTCGGCCGTGTTGTATCTTCGTTTCCCACCTCCAGCCACTCTTATTGAGCTAGAAACTGCTCTACAAGAAGAATGGCGATTGCTTAATTCTGCGGTGGTTGACCACCTAATTGAAAGCAGTGTCACAAGGTGTAAACTTTGTATACAAATGAGGGGGGATACCATACCCTATTAATGTCCTTTTTTTTTTTTTTTTTTTTTTCATTTTATGCTGTTTATTTTCACTTTATACATAATTCTGTTTAAGTCTCCAGTATGTCAATATCTGATAACGTAAAAAAATTTAATATTGCTTTCAATTCTGTATATAATTATTGATTTTGTTTTATGTATAAATATATATGCTACTTTCCTGCCGAATTTTGTGTCAATCAAAGCAGTATTTGTTGATTTTTTTCCATTTTACATCTTCGTGCTTAACTTTTGGAAGTGATTGTATTTCTCATTCAGTCAAGTCAGTTCTCACCTCGCGGCAAGACAAAAACGCATAAGTACTCAAAATATGTTCATTAAAAATTGTAAAATACAGAAAAATCTAATGAGCCAGTTAAAACCAGTTATTTTTTGTTGTTGTTGTTATTTAAATTAGAATTTCTAAGCAAAAATAAGCAATTCGACCAACAGGCAAAAAGACGAATTTAATTAAAATGAAAGAAATTAAAAAATTCTCACTTCAACTGGCTTATCTTCTTAGAGAGAGAGCTCAGTGCGAGAGCTTTAACAATTATTGGTAAGTTTATATTACTATGATAGTGCAACCTTAGTAATAATAATAATAATAATAATAAAACATGCAACTTTAGAGGAAAGTCCGCTGCTCTTCTGTGTTTTCAGCTACATTTGCGGCATACTACTAAATTTTAATCGGAATCTTTTTTCAGAGATTAAGTAATTATGATTTGTTTCTCAAAGTTCTTATAATAATGCTGCTCATTTTAATGATCGACATATATTTATAATCACTCATAAATTCTCATAAAAAGTCAGTAGGTAATTGTTTGGAAGCCAAAACATAAAAAGTAAGCAATTCTCTCCCTGGGTTTCGAACTCCGGACGTCCTTATTGCTAGCCGTATGTGCTTCCAGTTATACCGCTTCCAGTTAAGTTAAGGGAGAATAAAATACTTCATATCCTTCCTCACTTAAAGGGCTAATGACAAAGAAGGAAACTAGTCTCCGAATTCGGTTGGTATCGTCCACTACATTTTAATTGGGGTGCAACTTGAAGAGTCATTCTGCATTATCGGAACAGAAAACATTAAAAATCAGTAATATCCTACCTAGAATTCGAACCCCAGACCTCCCTATTGCTAGTAAGGCGTGCTTCCAATTGCACTACGAAAGTAAAGAAGGAGAAAACTCTTTGTAAATTTATTTTATCACGTCATGTCTGACACGAGCAAAGAGATAGATTAGTTCTCTGTTATAATTTCCTAACGTCCGCAATGGATAAATATTAGGAGAATTAAAAAAAAAAATAAATATCTGCAATTTGGAAATATTTTCTTCATGTTAAAATCGGACGTCTCAAAAATAGAAAGAAAGAAAAAGGTATTTTACAAATGCCGAATAGCAAAAACATGGTACAGGCCACAAAATTATATATCAAAATGGAGCTATTAAAAATAGCAATGTCAAAGGGTAGGACAGAAGCAACTTGCTGAGAGTTTATTCCATCATGAAGTAATCCCATGGGGAGATTTTGTATTGATTTATGAAGAAAACATTTAATTATCTATAACATATATGTGAGATTTATTTATAGTAGTGCTTTTGCCTTATGCTTGCAATAAATATTTTCTGCATTTGAAGTAGCACCAGTTTATATTTTGCCAGGGTTTAACATTAACGAAATGAAAAAATAACAGAGTCTTGGAACTATTGACTAATACTTCTTTTCAGGCATTTCCTATAATAAATACTTCAAAGAGGTACATTGTTCAATCAAATCGTAATTGACACAAAAAGATGTTATTGACAATTGTTAATGAATAAGATCTTCCTGTTATCTTCGATATTTTAAAAGTACGTTACGAGGTTCTGTGTTGTTGAGTTAATCATTAAAAAAGTCATGTTATATAATTTAACAATACTGTGCAACAATTGTTATATTATGTCATAGTTATCGTATATATCAAATCAGGTTCTAACATTTCGTAATAAATTGACTGAAAATGTCTTACTCTAATTCTTGTATATATTATCGTCTACATTATAAATAAAATCCGAAGACTAGAATGAAGTTATTAAAGTTGTAATACAGATTAAAAGCCACCTTATATATATTGTTACGGATTTGGTATTTAAATAGCTAATGTTAATTTAATTGTAAATTAAATGGTTTTATTTCCCGCGCAGTGCAGCGCGTGATGAATGTTAAAAGAAAGCTAAGCCGGAAAATTGAAAATACAAGAACATTTAACATTTATCTCTTTTTGATTTCGACAAAGACAATTTAAAAATCTTATAAAAAGGAGAAAAATCAGTGATAGAGTAAAGAAAAAATTGTAAAACCCACCCACAGAGTACAAGGATATCATAAACTGGATCCAAGATCCTAAAATCAAAAAATTTCTGAACAGTATGGTTGAGCACGTTGAGAAGATCCGCGCTGCAAAAACCACGGCTGAGAAGTTTACTGCCGGGTTCAAAGCAGCCATGACACTGATGAGATTTGCTGAAAGTGAAGAGTAATTACCAGCTTAGAAGCATTTGAGGGAATTTCACTATGTTTACGATTTCTTTTACTTTTTCAACACACAGGTTCCCCTGTTTACAGCAGCAGAGCTCGGGGTCAGTACTTGGGTGGGTGACCACCCACGTGACTGGCCTCGACGTATCATCTTTCTTCAACTAGTGAATATACATCACAGCTTGTACGGCGGCCAGATGCTTGAACCCTTCTTCTCCAAAGTCTACTTGACCAACTCACGTGCATTAGCCCATGTTCCTGCTTCACCTTTGTCGGTGAGGTGTAAATCACCTTAATTTTTTTTAATTCTTCCCAACGCCTTAGGGCATATCTCCAACAGAGACGGTTAAAGTAGCAGAGGCTACTAAATGCCGTCTAACCATTCACTCGATTTCGATTTCAATTCAGTCAGTCAGTGATTTTAGTTAGTTTGTTGTTGTTTTAAGAGTTTGCTTAGAAAACTGCTCTTGTTGACTGTAGCGAATTCGCGGATTAGCTCTTTTAGCTGTTTTGAATTAAGTTCTCTTGAACATTTGAGTAGTTAGAAGATAACTACTGTGATATATCGTGATACTGCACGGTTATTTGAGGACATTTAATCATATTTGTTGTGATAATAATAAATTTTCTTCATTTTTCATCGGACTTGTGCATTCAATTCAAACGAACCCGTACGCACACAACAATTTTTGGTGTCAGAAGTAGGATTTTGAATTCCAGCAATGTTAGAACAGCAATGGAAAAACAATTCAGGCAAATGATGACTGCATTTGCTGCTTTCCAAGAAAAGATGGAAGGGGCCGTCAACTCCGTTAAAGAAATGAAATCTAGTCAGGAAAAG